TTCCCTGGGTCAGCAAACCAGGGTGGAGGGGGTGGAGGGGAGAGGAAGCCCACTGTGAGGGGCGGTCATATGACTACATCATCCAGTTGTTTCTGATCACCCTGAGAGAAAAGGTTGAAGGGAAGGGGAGTTCCTACTTCCTGCTTCATGTTAAACTAAGCCTTTTACATACAGCAAATCTCAAATAATTCTTCACAGCAGTCCTGTAAGGAAATATTATCATCCCCGTTTCACAAACTAGAGAGTGCTTAGTGAGATTAAATAAATATCTTTTCCAAAAGTATGTGGTTAGTAAGAGGAAGATTTGAATCAAATCCTATGCTTGCCATTTGCTGTTTTAGAAAGAAACAAGAAACAGAAAAGTCTTTTTTCCATGTCTTTACTATTATTGACCAAGCAAATAAAGCATTTGTGGTAGCTAGCCTTCAACATGACCTCCAGTGGATTCTTGCTTTTTAGTGTCTGTACCTTGTGGAGGCTCCCCCCACATAGAATGCAGCTAACCTGTATAACCAACAGAATATTGCAGAAATTGCAGTAAGGTTAGCCATGAAAAACACTGTGGATTGCTCACTACGGAGGAAGCCAATACCATGTTGTGAGGACACTCAAGCAGCCCTTAAGAGGCCCATGTGGGGAGGAGCAGAGACCCACTGCAGTAACCAGCATCCCATAAGTGAGCTCTTGTCCTTTATCCTTATCAGGTCTTCAGGTGACTGCAGCCTTCCTCAACATCTTTGCTGAAACCTCTTAAGGCACCCTGAGCCAAAACCACCAGGATAAACCATTTCTGAATTCCTGACCTTAGAAATTATGCTGTAATAGCCTGGGGATTTAGCTCAGTCACACTGCACATAGCTTTGCAAGCACAAGGTCATGGGTTTGATCCCCAGTAATGCAAAAAAAAAAATGCAGTGATAAAAGTTGATTGTTTTAAGCCACTGAAATTCAGGGTAATTAGTTATGCATCAGTAGAGAACAAATTGAGAATTCATGAACTTTTGCACCCTGCTGGGTTGAAAAGTCTTGCCAATATCAGTGGGTCAGAAAAATCCCTCTAATATTCACATTTGTATGCCCAAAAGTAGAAATATGAAATAATGCTCATTCAAGATCCCTATTGGTAGAGATCTTGTGGGTTTAGGAGAGAATATGGGTTGGATCATCAATAGTTGCCTGAGGTTCTAATTTTCTCATTAAGGTGACTAAGTACAATTTGTTGATCATTCAGTCTGGTCCATTGTTCAGCTACCAACTGCTGTGAGAATTGAGGAAAAAAAGAATGGCTCATATTTTTAGGTGTTGGGTAATTTTGTTTAGAGCTAATTCACCACCTTGGAATCAAATGACTCTTACTGGAACATCTCTTACAATTCACAATACAGAAATCCACACCACCCAAGCACTACAGTTTATATTGAATACTGAAGTGAAGCTGGGCTATGAAGTCTGCAACCTTGGCAGTGTTTAATTGCTTTGTTGACCTGGCCCATAATTCACCTAAGTCAAAAAAGCACAAGATTGATAAAAATTAGTGATTGAACTCAACAGTGCCAATTGGGCTGTGCTCTCTGGACAATACAGATCCTCATCTCCTGCCTGGGCTGTCAGGGACAGGGAGCCCAGGCTACAAAATCTAAGCCAAGCCCCTCGGTGGCTGGACTCACCTCCAGTTCAGGAAGGTCATTATTTGATGGGAAGGTATAAGTATTGTGTGTTTTCTGGACATGTTTCATGTAAAAAACTTTTGTTCCAAAGATGAGCTGTAATAATAAGTTGACCCTAGAAAATGCTGAGCAGGAAAGAGTGTGGGTGAATAAGTGGGCAAGAGAATACACGGGACACCATCTGTTTGCTGAAGCTGCTGGACAGTCAGATCCCCATGCTCTTGTGAGTCTGTCACTATACCAGTGCCCTCTCCCTCACCACCTGTGGAGGTGTGCTGGCTAAAAGCATTTGGGAGTATCAGCCCTATACCTGATATTTATCTCAGCCAAGGGCTTTGCCTCTGGAACTTGCTCTCTCAGAAATAAGTATCTGTGATCCAGCTTCAATTTCTGTCATAAAAATCCTTTGCCTCATGAAAATGGACCCTAACATAAGCCCGTTGTGTGATATTTTAAAGAAGTACAACTTGTTAATCAAATGAAGTGGATCTGCTACTGAGATAATATGTGTTCTATCACAGAGGCCAGTATATTGGGTGCCTGATAAACTTCATTCTAACAGAGCAAGTGTGGTTTTCAGGAAAGAGTTGCTCAGATTTAATTTGGCCACTACTCGGCCAGCCTGAGACCTGATTTTAAGAAGCTGGTTACAAGGGAGAGAGCACAAGACTGGAATGTGGAGGCCAGTGTTCTGGTTCTAATCCTCTAAATAACTCTGTGTCCTCCATGCCTGACTCCAGGAGACCCTACTGTCCTGTGTTTCATGTGCCATTTCCATGGACAGGAGCTCTCGGAGGGCTGATGCTGTGTGCTCTTCACATCCCACTGCTTGGCATGGGCTCTGCCAATGACCAAAAAAGTGAATAAGCTCATCTATATATGCATATTCACACATGTCTATATGTGGATAGATGAGTGTGAAAGAAAGTATATGAGGGTCTGTTCCATGCTGTCAACATGGGGGTTGAGGATAAAGTAGATGGTGCAGGGAAGGAAAGGGGGTGGGGAAAGCCAAGCAACAGAAAAAAGAAGACTGTCCTGAAAAGGCCTAGATGCAAAATAGGATCTTCTTGTAGAAGTACGTGTATGTATGCTAAATACATTAAGGGGAAAATGATGATGTGCCTACGTTCAGGCAAAGCAAGATGCAGAATATTTCAGTTAAGAACCACAAACAAAAAAACACCCCATATATCTTTTATATGTGCATAATGAGGTTTAAATGAGCAAAAGGAGAGTGTGTGCTGTGGATGATGGGAGACACCACCCAAATGAAACACTTGATTCCACAGCTGCTTGGAGTATTGGCTGCTGATGGCTCACAGCTGAGTCCCTCTGCAGCCACTGCCCTAACTCAAAAGGAACTCGTTTACCCAGTGTTGTGCCCACTCCTCCTGATGGGCAGCTCGCATGCAAGACTGTTCCATATGGGGTCCGAAAGCCTGGATCCTCTCTCAATGCAGGTCAGCTCAATGTGCCTCCTGACTGGTTCAAGCATGAGCCCAGGGAAACTTGTAGGTGCATATTCAGTGTCCATTTGTTTTCTGAGAAACTATGACAGGGTAAAGGACACTTGACAGTCTATTAAAATATTACCTAAAGGCCAAAGATGGGAAGACATGATTGGCTTTTTCTTCATGTTGATTCTCTTATTACTGTAAGCATGCATCACCTTTCCGATTTTAAGAATATCAGACATTTTAAACCATAATAAACATATGCTAGTTGTTGATGAATGAAGGTGTCTATATCTTATTGGAGAAATAGATAACAACAAAATACTATGTTGAAGGGTACCCAGTGTTTAATGAACTCAACTGTAGCAGATTTTGCCCACACTTTTGATAACTTTTGACTTAGTTGGTTCAAAAGAGATTGGACCAGCTTTCTGAAAGTGAGGTCACCACCTTTACAGATAGGATAAGAAAAAAGTCAATAGTGGGAGGAAAAAATGAGAGGGAGTTTTAATTCGATGGAAGGAGAAATTGTCCAATATCAGAGCTCTGTCTTCAAAACAGGCTGAAAATTTTGTGCACTTACTATCCAAATTACACTACTCAAAGAACTATGATTATTTTCATTTAGCAAATAGATTAGAATTGGAAGAGGAAAATAACTGGCATCTTTGTGATCTGCAACACCTGTCCATCTTGAGCACCAGCAAAGCCCAAGACCATTCCTTACCTAATGATGTGGCCTCGGAATCCTTCAAACCCCACTCTGTAGGGAGCCTGCTGATACACTGGAATGTCCACCAGAGACACAGTCTGTGCCCTTCCAGAACAGAAGGAGCTCTACCCTTCCTCCGATTCTGAAGTCCCATGAGGTCCTCCACTCATTCCAGGAACAACTTAGATGATCAGGTCCATACTTTAGCTAAATGCTTGCTCCTTTCTCCTGCAGGCTCCAATCAAGTTTTGCAAATGCATCCTCTTTAGATGCTTATAAATGAGATCCTTGAGGCTTAGCAGGGTTTGTGAGAAGGAAGCCCTCAATGGCATAATTATCAAGCTACCAACTGTGTTGACAGATACTTAGGGGAAAGCCTGGTCCAAGTTCGAGGACCCCTGATTAAAAGGACTGACAAGTATGCTTATTCCGAAGTTTCCCACTTACAACAGATGCTCCTGCTTCTCGAAGTGGTGATTCTACCCTGAGAGAATTACTCTGCATTCATTCATTTATTCATTCACTCCTCTCTGTGCTGTCATTGTGCTTGGGACAAGAGCTAAAGCAGGGAGAGGGACAAAGACTCTGACCTTAAGGAGAGTCCAGAGAGTCCTTGAGGGAAAAGACTGAAAGTGACACCCTTAAAAATGTTGATGATAAATGGGAAACTTGCATGACATAGGACTGTCCAACACACGGAGGATTTTAAGGACATAGAAGAGGCTCTGATTTGGGGAGAAAGGGGATTGGATGGGAAGAAGCTTCCTGAAGGAAATGCAAAGTATTTGTCATAATCAGATCATCTAAATATGTGCTAGTCATTTTCAAAGAGCCCAGATTTGTTGTATAAACCACATTTCTGGATTTATAATTATTTGATAGAATTTTTGCCTTAAATATTTACCGTGTTATTGAAAAACTATGAAACTGAATTTTAAAAATTAGTGAAATAAATAACTCTGAAGAGAAAAAATAACTTGCTAAGCAACAGTTGTCTTTGCCTTAGGAATCTTAGATGAGGGCCAGGGATTTAGCTCAGTGGCAACCGCACCTGCTTCACAAGTGCAAGGTCCTGAAATAAAGTGTTTAGAACAGAAAGGGAAACTGAGGTTCCTTGTTTTGAAGCCATCAATGTATTTCTTCATCACCTTCCTTCTGTTTCAGGTATCCATGTCATCCTAACTCCACAGAGGACAGATCTCTTTTGAAGTTAGGGTTAAAGAACGTGTGGTCAAGAGAAAGCATCGGAAACACCATCAGGAAAGGTACTGCCTGCACCTTTTATTATTCATCATTCCAGTGGCCCCTTTGAGGCTTTCACCAGTAACTGCTTCTTCCCAGTGCTCTGAGACCCTTTGTTACTGAAACGACAGCCTAGGGGAATAGTCTCCCCAAAATGAGGAGGCCAAGACATCTTTTCCTCCAGGCTCCCTGCAGTCTCTGAAAACAACGGAGGAACTGGGTACTAAGATTTTTGGTTTCTCATAAAATATTTTTGCAATGCATTTCATGATACAGTCAGTAATAAAAGTGTGTTAGTGCGCTCCATCCCTCCAAGAGGCCTCGCCTTGCTTCCCAGCCCACCCGCGCCTACATGAATCAGTGCTAAATTATTCACCAGCCCAACTCTAAAATTTCCAGCGTTCCAAAACCCCTAATAAAGTATTATGAAAAAATATACATCTCTTTATCTCTATCCATAACTATTTATATGGCTGGAGGAAAAAACCCTGTCATTTTATTTCTTTTAATTTAAAAGCTTTCCTAATTCCTTTTTCCTATCACATATATACGTCTAAAGAATTTTCAGGTGGAAATAATAACCTCTGAAAAACAGTCCACAGGAGAAGGCTGTCAGGATTCACAGAGCTGACAAGTGCAGTGAATATTTCTCTCCCTTAATAACTTTCCACGGCACTCAAACCTGATTCACTGGTTTAGGAACTTTTCAAACAGGCATGGCCCTTTTTTATTGTACAAAACAATGGTAATGTACCCACCAGCCTTCCCTTTCTATTTGTTTATACAATTGGTAAAGTTTGTTTGAGAAAAACTCATTTCCTTTCTGAAACTCATGTACTCAGCAGCCATCATGCTATTCTACAGACACAAGGCAAGTCTTCCCAGAAACTTTGCATGCGAATCAGCCCAGAATATCCTCCTTGGCAGCAAGATGCCTTAGTGGTCACGAGACAGTTGACCACTATATACGCCAGGACTTTTAAAACATCTTTCAATATTCAAAGTCACAGGAGACATAGTACATGAAGCTGGCTGTCAGCCATGCATGGTAGAGGGTAAATTGGTTAATTGGGTGCTTCTAGGCTACCAGCTGGTTAAGATCAAGTTCTCTACAACCAAATGGACCTGGAAATGGGCAGCTCAGCAATTAGGGGGACCTGTCACAGAAGCATCACTGGAGATGTATGAAGATGGAGACATTTTCCCTTATCAGCACTCTGCTCAGAAAAAATAGTTTTATAGATAAGGGGATATTTGACAAACCATTTGCAATGGAATATTAAACTCCCCACCCGAAGAAATTTCTCTGGTAGAAACACTTGGCAGTATACTGACTTCTATACTGACTCTATATACTGACTTCTTAGTAAAGATTCAATGCAAACATGTGATTTGGGGTGCTGTCACCCTCTTCTAGTGAGATGTTGAAGGAACAAAGAATGTTGGTTTAAATATAAGACAAGTTATTAGTATGACAGTACAGCTATGTATTTTCATCTAGCCCTGCTATCTAAGGCCTTTGGTGGAGGGCTTGGAAAGATGAAAGAGGGAGGAGCCTAAGGCTTTGGATGAGACTCTGATTGGAGGGGCAGTGCTGAGAAATGGTGTACAGAGGCAGACAGTGGGAGAGGGAAGGACATCTGAGGACCAATATAACTATTACATCTGGAGATGGCTTCACCCCAGCAACCTGAACCTTGTCCTTGGTTTTACTGTTGGAAATCAACCCACAGGCTGAACGAAGACTGCTCCTGAATGAGATGAGGTTACTGTTCAAAGCATGGCCAGGGCAGGGGAGTGTTGTGATCCAATACTACAGAGCCATGTGCACACCAGGGGCAGGGGCCACTTTAGTGTAGAGCTTACAGAAGTCCCTGAGTCCAGGGAAAGGCAAACCAAGGTGAATGGGAGGAGGAACTGACCTTAAAGGTATCTAACAGCTGTCAGGGCACCCTGGGCAGGTCTGGGGGAACTGGCTGGCTCCTCAGCTTGCAAAGCAGTGTTCAGAGGTAGTCATTCAAACACCAGCACCGCTATTAGGTTTGAAGGCCACCAGCTGGCACAGGGGCCTTCTACCTTTCCCTGCTGGGCTTTGTCCCACATGTGCAATCATCTTCATAGGAGAATATTACCTGTCCAGATTGACTTTCCATCTCATGCACTCACAGATTGCTCTGTACTAACATGACCTGGTGTTGGAATTGCAGGAAGGCAGCGGGGGCATCTCACAGCTCCATGGCAATTCAAACACTGGTGCATCTATGAGGAGAGTCTGAGTTGCCTGGTTCAGCTTACTTCCATCTTACCTTCAATCCCTATGCATTTGCAAGCAGCTTATTTTAAGAACTGATTAGATGAACCTTAATAACATTAGAACTTAAATGGCCCCAGATAGGCTTTCAGCTTCTTGCCAAATTGAGATAAATGTGATATTTGGGGAACTGAGCTCCCAGCTTTGTGGCTGCTCTGGTCTGTGCACAGGTTCTGAAACATTCTACTTGTGGCTCTTTGCAGCCTAAAACTGGGTCTGTGTGCATCTTTCAGGTCCTTGTCATGTCTCAGGGTCTGTGATTCTGTGAGTAAATGAGTCTCTATGATCACGCATTTTCAAAGAAAGTTAATTTGGGGATAAGGGGCCCCAGACAGAATTTTATCCTTCAGTTATAAAAAATACTATGGTAAAACTCTTTGTGCTTCCAACCATTATTTTGTTATTTAATTCAATGTTAATTTTGTTAATATCATACTTTGACCGAGAATCATAAAATGGTTAGAAATGTGATTGTCTTGTTGCATAAAGATGTTCAGCACCTTCTGTAAGTCCTATGAGTGGGTTCATATTCCAGAGTAACAAATGCAGCATTAAGTAAATAGGTATAGCCTTCAGACTGATACCCTTCTGTGAAGTTTAGAAAAATATCAAAATAGGACATGAAAGGGAAAGAAAAAATAAAACCAGTGATAAATACAAAATATAGTTCATTGTTGAAGTAAATGTATTCTTACAAACAAAAGAAAATGAGTTTTCTTCTCTTACTATTTCTCCACCCACACCAGATATCTAGGTAACCCCAGAATATCTGGAAACTCTTGAAAACATGCTTTACTTTTCTGTGTGTGGGTCATTCAAGAAATGGAGGGCCGAGGATTTAGCTCAGTGGTTTTGGTGCCTGCCTCACAAGTGCAAGGACCTGAGTTCGATCCCTGCTACAAAGAAAGAAAGAAAGAAAGAATGTGGAGCCTAAGTTTTTGAAAGCTTTTGGAAAGCTCAACAAATGTAGCTGCCCTTTCAGCTTTTCAGAAGAAGTTAAGCCTTGAGCTTAAATCTTGCATTTCATTTGCATTTGGGTGGGAAAATACCACCTGCCATGTTTTCCTGAATGAAAGCTAAGATGCCACCCAGGAGGTGGGAGAGCTGGGTGTGGGAAAAGCTGTGGGCAAACCCACTCCTCTTGCTATGTCTCAGGGAATCCAAAGCTCACGCCATTCTTTGGGGAGCACCGAGGGATTTTGAAAGGATTTCAACTGTGGCTGGGAACAGAATTGAATGTGCATGGCTCCTTGGGCTGCCTGATGAAACCAGGGCTGGGAAAGCTCAACAAAGAACAGATTTAGAATCACAGTGTATAACTCTATTACAAACTCAGGAATCATATGACTGTTCCATGTGGAAGGGGAACAAAGCATATCAGAGATACTGGCAGAGCCTTCAGGCTCAGCCCGGCACCCTCAGGAAAGTAAGCATTCCATCCTGCTGTGATATGCTTTCATAGTGAGCATATTATTGAAGAGGTCATTGCTCACGAAATTACTTCTCTAACCGTGTGTTTGAGTTTTCTCTCGGCATCATGTGATTTACACGTTAAAAAAAAGAAATTAATGGTATTGAATGTATTAGCCAAAATTTTGCCTGCAAGTTTCCCTCTTCATTGGCTAAGCCTGGGGACATACAGACAGCTTTCTGAGCCTGCATGTGGTGCACACCTTTAATCCCGGCACTTTAGGAGACTGAGGCAGGAGGATTTCAAGTTAGAACCCAACCCAGGCAACTTGGTACTCAGGTGCCATCTCAAAGTTAAAAAACAAAAAAGGGCTAGAGGTATAGCTGAGTGCATAGGCCCTGCATTCGAGCCCAGGTAGCACAGGTGTGCATGTGCACACACACACACACACACACACACACACACACACACATACATGCACACACACACAGCCTTGTTAATTTCTCTTCTGCTTGCTCTGGGTGCCTTTACACAGACATCTTCCTTAAGCCTCCCCAGAGGCCAGCTCTTCCTGAGCCCTCACCCATCTCATCTACAGCCCGAGCCATGCATTGTCCTTTTCCTCATGTACAGTTTCCCTCACTTTCTAGAAATTCTTTTCATTCCAATTATAGATGAGTCTCATCACCATAAAACAAACAAACCCTAACCCTTGATTTCCTCTCTGTTACCGCCTCTTACTCTGAACTATGTGGAAAAATATTCTCTTTCACTTCTCACATTTACTGATCTTTTAACCCTATGGAAAATGGAACATTCTTCCCACCCATGTAACAAGTTCAGTGCAATTTAGGAAACATACACTGAACACATAGGATGTGCCAAGTCTAGTCTGGATCCTGACCATAAGCAGAACATACTGGAAAGCAAGCCTATCCCTTGCCCCCAGTGACGAAGCAGGGCGGTAAGTGGAGAGACAGCACCAAGCACTATGTGAATTGTCTGGAGGAAGATCTCAACAAGGAGAGTTTCACAGATGTTTCCAAATGAGGAATCCAAGGGGAAGAAGGAAGAAGAGAGAAGAGGGGTCAGCCTAGGTAGAAGAAACAGCATGGAAAAGGTCACTGTGGTCACTGGGGCCCAAGCAGCATAGCATGTGGCTGGCAGAATGTATGCGGTGGGAGACATGTTGTAACTACAGAGGGTGGCAGATGCTTAGACCTCATGTGTGAGATCTTAAGAAACAACTCCTTCTTGCAGACAATGGGAACATGGGAGGGTTTATAGGTGGGGAATGTCAC